CCAACCAGTTTATAGTTAATGTAGGCTGCGGGACTGGCCAAAACAGAAACCTCTCTCAACATGTTAAAGTCTTTCTTTTTTGTTTAAACAGAAAAAGGGGAAATGATGTGGGAGTGATTTCTTATTAATAAAGAAACTGCCTAGACCCATTTGATAGGCCAACCCTTAGGTAGGAGGAGTAAACAGAACGGAATGCTGGGAGAAAGAAGCTGAGTCAGGGAGTCGCCATGATTCTTCCACTCCAGGCAGATGCACGTTAAGATCATTCCTGGTAAGCCAGCTCGTGGGCTACAGCAGATTATTAGAAATGGGCTAGTCCAGATGCGAGAGCTAGCCTAGAAGAGGCTAGATAGAAATGGGCCAAGCGGTGTTTAAAAGAATACAGTTTCTGTGTAATTATTTCGGGTAAAGCTAGCCGGGTGGCGGGACGCAGCCCAGCCCGCCGCTCATATTTCAACACGAATTAGAAAGGAAAGAGTTGGAGAGGTGGCTCAGTGGTGAGGATTAGTGACTGCTCTTCCAGAATAACCAGGTTGAAATCCCAGCACCCATATGGAAACTCCTGCCTGCCTGTAACTCCAGTTCCAGGAGATTCAAAACCCTCACACAGGCATACGTGCTGGGAAAACACCAATGAATAGAAAATAAAAATAAATTATTAAAATTAGAAAGACAAAGCTTCATTGGAACTGAATCTCACACACACAAACACACACACACACACACACACACACACACACACATGCACTCACACTTATGTGCCTATAAACATCTGTAAAGCCAAAGCTTTACAATTCTGAATTCATTACAGTATGTTCCCCATGTTCCCTGGAGTCTACATTCACTTTCAGCTCCCTTGTAAGCTATCAAGCCTCTCTGCTTTTCTGAGCTACTTTGAATATGGTGCTGGGTTACTCTCATGAGCTTATTTTATAATTTATAACTTCTTTTTGAGATATGTTGAGTGACTGCTACTTTTAAATGTTTAATGCATTTCATTTAATTTTTAGAATAAATTTAGATTAACTTACTTTGAAGTCTTTGCAAGATTTAACAACTTGAAACACTCAGGGATGTTACTCTTGCTTTATATTAAGGCCTGGCTTTCAGGAAATTGCCTCGCATGTAACTAACTAAAGAGCCAAAGGAGGGTTTGCTCAAGATTCATGAGTCAAGACTGCACCTTGCCAAAGCATCTACACACTCAGGCTTTTTCTGTTCTCCTATGTTGTTCTTAGCCCTAAACCCTTATACGCATGCCTCTTCTACACATTCATGAAGCCTCCATGAGTGACAGCCTTAAACTGCACAGGCCCAGAAGTCAGGAACTTCCATCAGCAATGTTTCGAGGGTCGGGAAACACCTGACACTTCAAGCTGAGGGGAAGGCGCCTGGAAGAACCTGTTCACTGACCACAGGGATGGGAGAAGCTGCAGGCATGCATCCCTCTCAGTCCCACTGTAGTTCAAAGCTTGGCAGCTGCTCAAGCCTAAACACAGCTCAGACTCTGATGCCTCTGTTGACTTCCCCCCAAGGCTGTTTCCAACCGCTCTGCAGATGGCTGTGCTCCGACACTCCAGTCATTTTAATCCGTTTACTCTGCTTTTCTCTACCTGCAATGCAACTACCCCAGACTCTTACTCAGAAGGCCCAGCCTCGGATGCTCCTTTCTGGAGGCCTCCGTCATTAAACCGCCTTCACCCACCTCTCCCTTTTCTCAGCTCCTCCACACGTCAAAATCCAAGTTCTACACACATGTTCTGCTTTGGATTTGACATAATAACATCCTTACATCTTTGGGAAAGGGGTTGGGTTTTTTAGCTTTTGAATCCTTCTGGACCTGAAATAATGTTCCATACTAAGTAAACTCCCCAAAGCCCAGTTTTTTAATAGCAACAACAAAAAGAAGTTAATACTTCAAGAAATGTAATGATCCTCAACTTAACTGGATCTGGAATCAACTAAAAGGCAAGCTGCTGGGCACACCTGTGAGGAATTTAATTAATCGGGTTATTTGAAGTGAGAAGACCCACCCAAAATGTGGGCGCCCCTTCCAAGGGCAGCACCAAGAAAGGAGGTCAAAGAAAGAGAGGGTAGCTTTGTTGCTGGGGGCCTGCCACCTCTATGCCGCGCCTGGCTATCTACGCCGCGGCGGCTGTAGTTACTGCCTGCGGTTCTGGTTCCTGTCATACTGCCTCCAAGCATGGGGTGTGCCCTATGGTTGGCTTGTGAGCAGGAAGAAGAATAAAGCCTGCATTATGGATCACCCTAAATGGTATGCAGGCATCACCCAAAAGGACAAGGGGCAGCCCTGAAAGGCTTACGTCACGGGGAGGACACTGGGCAGTGCACGTGGTGGTACACTTTGCTTGGTTTCAGTGAATTCAGGGACACGGAAGACCCAGGCATGGAAGCTGGTGAGAACAATGTTTGGGGTAGCAGTGTGCAGACAGATGGCACAATGGGCAAAAAGAGAAAAGGGATTTGTGCCCCATGTAAATTCACATCATAAGATGTTAGCAGAGAAGGAGAGCAACCGTCAAGGAGACAGGATAGCCTTTTCAGTGCGCGGTTAGACTCTTTCCCCAGCCATCTTTGCCACAGCCCAAAGGCCCGTGAACAAAGTGAATCCCAGATGCTGGAGGAAATGCAGAATGGGCAGTGGAGGACGTCAGATGTAAGGACCAGCCGTGTGACCAGTTACGGAAATGAGGACTGTAATTTCCAAGAACGATTTTGTCCTGGTTTGTTAAGAATGTTAAACAGATGTGTTTTATTTCCTCCATCTCTTTATCATGTGATGTAACACTGACTGCGACAGTAGCACTGATAAAGTATTCTAAATTTATTTCTCCATATTGGGCTTTCAATACTAAAAGACTAAGAATTCTTCATGATACCATGTCTATTGTGTGGGAAAACTACACATTTGCAGTTGCACCTGGGACAGATATATCACGTTAGAAAGTTATGACATTTTTACTGCTGTCAGTTGGAAATTAAGCATGACACAAGGAAAGGTGACTGTGTGTAAACTGACGGGGGGGGGGCTGACTTGTAAAGGTTGATGGTAGCTAGTAACTTGACGGGAACTGGAATCAACTAAAGTCAGGCCACTAAGTACACCTGTGAAGAATTTTCTCAGTCAGGTTATTTGACATTAGAAGGCCCACCCTAGGTGTGTGCAGTACCTTCTAGGGGCAGCCCAGCAAAGATGGAGGCAAAGAAAGAAAGCAGCTTTGTTTTGTGATTGCCTTTGCCCTCCCTGGTGAACTCATCTGTCCTGTTTCTGCTATTGCAGCAGCTACCATTAACTGATACAGGATGGGCCATCCACCTGGACCCAAGACCCTTGCTCTCCGGGAATCCTTGAAGCCCTCAGCACCAAACTGAGACTGCTGGTATACATACCTACTGACTTCTCAGCCTTGTCAGTATGAGACAGCCACACTGTCCAGTTTGTATTGTGCAAGCCAGTGTAATGAATGTCCTTTTGATACACATGTATTTATTATCAGTACTGTTCTTACAGCAAACCCTAACACACATTTCATGAAGTCAGACTATATTAATAACTAGTAATAATCAAGACAACATGATTTGGCTAATTATGATGGCTCAAGTCTGTAAGCCGAACACCCAGGAGTTTATGACATGAAGCCTTCATGACCAGCCTAAACTACAAAGTAAAAACACGTCTCAAAAAAGACTAGGGACTAGATAGAGGACTCTATGGTTCTTTAAAAGCACTGGCTCCTCTTCTAGAGGACCCAAATTCAAGTCCCCAGGACCCATATGGAAGCTCACAACCATCTATAACTATAGCTCTGATACTTTCTTCTGGCCTCCTCAGGCACCGGGCACACAAGTGGTCCACAGATATACATGCATGCAAGCAAAACCTACACACAGAATTATTTTATTCTGGTTGGATATAGTTCCATGACCTAAATATATATGTCATTAAAAGACCTTCCTTTTCCAAAGTCCCATACCTAAAGTGTGCACCATGGTTGAAAGCACATGGCGGCAGCTACCAGCTGCCTGCCTAAAACCCATCAATCACCTTCCCTATCAACAAAGGAACACAGGAACAATCACTCCTCAACGAAGAGTTCAAGTGGACATAGTGGCCACCTGCAATCATTATTTAAAGAGATACTTTGAAAGAATGTCAAACTAAAAAGAATATAGGTCACTAGAGCATCGTAGTAACATGACACTGCCCCGGGCTGCCTAGCTAGACTCACGTGACTGTGTACAACACTGCAGCTTACTAAACATGTTCCTAACTGGAATTATGCAGACTGTTAAAATACAGGGAACACAATGGATAACTGGGAAATTATAATTCACCAGGAAGAGTATGATTACACAATTTAATACATGGAAGAAGCAGATAAAAACAGAAAATAGCACCCCTCATTCACAGAAGCTAGTGTGAACATGATAAGCACAATCAATCAGCAAACCTGTTCTTTCAATGTGTCAATCAAGAAGGAAAATGGTACTTTTTCATGGTATTATAAAGAATTAGTGAGGCCGGGCGATGGTGGCGCACGCCTTTAATCCCAGCACTCGGGAGGCAGAGGTAGGCGGATCTCTGTGAGTTTGAGACCAGCCTGGTCTACAGAGCTAGTTCCAGGACAGGTTCCAAAGCCACAGAGAAACCCTGTCTCGAAAAACCAAAAAAAAAAAAAAAAAAAAAAAAAAAAAAAGAATTAGTGAGAAAACCAAGCAATACCTTGAAGTTGCATCAGACACAAGCCACAGCATCAATTTATGGCCACCCGATAGCAACTTCTGCACTAGAGGCATTGGTATTAATACCACACTACAAATGCACGAGCTCAGTCAGTAACACTTTCCCCGATGCTGACAACGGAGACCTTTTATCACTGCCTTCATCTGACTCAGCACCACAATACAGGAAAAAAGAGTGGGTAAAAACGTCACCGCAAGTGCTGCAGGTGTCAAGGCTTCAATTTGAACATCCTTACCCCGAAGATCCAATGCTCTTACAAACACCAAGAAGAGGTCTTTTCTCAGCAAAGTTATCACATTTTTGAGCACCTGTTAGAGAGCATAAGACAAAAAAGTATGTTTTGAGAAACTCATGCATATTGTATATTTGCCATTATTTCAAAATATTTCCAACAGAGGATGGGATAGAGCAGTGGGAAATCCCTAGTCTGCCATACACAGAACAAAGTAGATATCTATACAAGTTTGTGAATGTGTGTTTACATTCATATATACACACAACAGAAATCTGTTCACTACAATGCATTCAGCCCACTTAAATGCACAAATAATGAAAACTGGAGGAAAAATACTTTAAACATTAAAGATACTGACATTTTATTAAAGATTTGTTTGAATGGCACCTGATTCAATCTTACCAACATTCTCTGTGGGATCAAAAACCCATCCTATAGTGCTGACTAGCTCATTATGACTGGCATGTTTGCCAGCCTGGGATGGTGCACAACTTTTGATCTTAGCAGGGGCAGGCGGATATCTAAGTTCAAGGCCAGCCTGATCTAGAACTCCAGCATGGCCATGGCTACACAGAAAAATCCTATCTTGAAACTCCCTCCCCCAAAAAAACTAGCATATGCATGACACCCAAACTATTATGATTTTAAAATTATAAAATATATCATAGTAATTTATGCATGAATGTAAACTTTTTAATGAAACAGTTTCATTAAAGTCACCTAAGAAATGAAACGAATCCTTGCTAGTTGTTGGGATATACAAATGCTGGAAATTAGACCAACCACTAATAACCCTGCCAATGCAGCACATAAAGAATAAAGATTTGACTCAACTCTATACCTACTCATGCTAGCAACAAAAGAAAACAACAAAGTTAACTTGTTTTATTCTGCTTTAGCTCTGCAGCCTAGGCAGGCCCTGAACTCCAGATCCTACAGCCTCAGCGAGTACTACCAGAACACCTAGTTTTTCTTTCATTCATTGTTTTATTTTTATGTATATGGGTCTTCTGCCCATCTATGTCTGTGCACAATCTGCCTCCAAGACCAAAACAGGGTGTCAGCTGCCCTGGAACGGAGCTGCAGATGGTTTATTGTACGCCACCATGTGAATTCCGGGACATCAGTCCTTTGGAAAAGCAGACAGTAATCTTAACCACTGACCCATCTTTCCAGCCCCAATTTTTTTTTAATTTCTCCCTCTCCCTTTGAGAAGGTCTCATGAATCCAAGGTTAGCTTTAACTTATCATGCAGCCAAAACTGGCTTTAAAATTTTTATCCCCTGCTTCTACCTCCCTAGAGTGCTCAAAAATAGTTGCTTTAACACAGTAATGACTATTTACAGAAACAGAGACGAAAATAATAGTTAATAGATCAGAGTATTCCCACTCAAGTCAGTAAGGACTCAAGTGTGCTCAACATCGATGTTCTCATTCAAGGCTATGCCAGAATACTAGGCAACATAATATAAACCAGGTGCATGGTTGAAGAGACACTTCAGTAAGTTAAGTGTGTGCCTTGAATACACAGAGCTATGTGTGATCCTCAGAACCCATATTAAAAATAGCAGTATTTAAGCCGGGCGGTGGTGGCGCACGCCTTTAATCCCAGCACTCGGGAGGCAGAGGCAGGCGGATCTCTGTGAGTTCGAAGCCAGCCTGGTCTACAGAGCTAGTTCCAGGACAGGCTCCAAAAACCACAGAGAAACCCTGTCTCGAAAAAACAAAACAAAAAAACAAACAAACAAAAAAATAGTAGTATTTAGTAGTGTTGCTCTTGTAGAAGACCTTGCTTTGGTTCCCAGCACCCGAGAGCAATTCACAATCTTCTGTAACTCCAAGAATTACTTCTGTAATTCCAAGGGATGTGACTTCCCCCTCTGGCCGCCTCAGGAAACACACATGCATGTGATTCACATACACGAAACTAAAAACAAACTTTTTAAGAAATAAAATTAAAATAATAAATACACTTTGGGTACAAATGACATAGAAAGATGTTTGAGCACACAATTAAGAGAAAGTCCTGCAAACCGAGTTAATAGTACTCGGAGAGCTTGTGCTGCTCCTGGTCTACTTTTTAGAGCACCGAAAGCACAGGAGGAGGTGAAGCAGTCTGACCTTCGTCATACCTGCTCAAGGGGTGAAGAAACTCCCACATGACAGACTTCCTCCACTGCCAGGACCAGAGAATTAAAAAACGAACAAACTAGTTCCATCCATTTATGTGCAAATTTCAAGATGCCATTGTTTTTCACTGAGTAGTACTCCATTACGTAAATGTACCACATTTTCTTTATCCATTCTTCCGGTGAGGGGCATCTAGATTTGTAGGTAGAGACTGCTCGTTCGTTCCCGGCTCCCCGAACCCGAATGATCACACAGAAACTATATTAATTACATCGCTGTTTCGCCTATTAGCTCAGGCTTCTTATTAACTCTCACATCTTAAATTATCTTATTTATAACAATCTGTGTATCAGCATAAGGCTGTGGCTTACTGGTAAGGGTCCAATGTCTGTCTCAGCTACAGAGCATCTCCCTGACTCTGCCTATGCTCTCTATAAATCTCTTCCAGCCTGGCTATACTTTGTCCTGCTATAGGCCGAAGGAGCTTCTTTATTAACATATAAAATGTATCCCACATCTTAGGTTGTTTCCAGGTTCTGGCTATTACAAACAATGCTGCTATGAAGATAGCTGAACAAATGTCCTATATAGTATGATTCAGGACTTTTTGAGTATATGCCCAAGAGTGGTACTGATGAGTCTTGAGGTTTCTGAGAAAATGCCATACTGATTTCCAATGTGGTTGTATAAGTTTGCACTCCCACCAGCAATGGAGGAGTGTTCCCCTTACTCCACATCCTCTCCAGCCTATGCAATCATGGTTGTTTTTCATCTTAGCCAAGCTGACTATTGTAATCATCCTGAGTGAGCAAACCCAGACCCAGAAAGACAAACACAATATGTACTCACTAAGAAGTGGATATTAGATGTAAAACAAAGGATAACCAGCCTACAGTCCATGACCCCAGAAAAGGTAGGTAATAAGGAGAACAGTATGAGAAACATACATGGATCCCCCTGAGAAGGGGAAATAGACAAGATCTCCTGAGAAAATCAGGAGCATGGGAGTGAGGGAGAAGGAAGGCAGAAACAGGTGGAAGGAGGGAAGAAAGGAAGGGGGAGGAGAACATGAGATGGTCGAGATGGGGGAAGGACAGAGAAGGAGAGCAAGGAAAGAGATTGATTGAGGAAGCCATTATGGGGCTAGTGAGAAACTTCTCAATAGGGAAATTCCCAGGAAACCACAAGGATGACCCCAGCTAAGACCCTAAGCAATAGTGGAGAGGATGCCTAAACTGGCCTTCCCCTGTAATCAAATTAATGACCACCTCAATTATCTCAAAAATTTCATCCAGCAATTGATAGAAGCAGATGCAGAGATCCACAGCTCCCGAAGTCCATAGAAGAGAGGAAGGAGTGGTAATGCAAACAAAGGGGTCAAGACCATGAGGGGATACCCACAGAGACAGCTTACCTGAGCTAATGGAAGCTCACTAACTTCCAGACAGTGGGGGAACCAGCATAGTACCAAACTGGGCATTCTGAATAGAGGTGACAGTTGTGGGGCTGGGGCAGACTGTGGGGCTGGGGCAGACTGCTTTAACTGGCTTTTTGGAGGAATACCTTGCTCAGCCTAGATGGGGGGAAGGGGAGACTTGGTATGATATGCTAGACTTGGTTGACTTCTAGATGGAGTGGAGGTGGGGAAGTTGGAGGGAGCAGGAGAAGGGGAGGGAGTGGGAACTGTGAATGGTATACAAAATGAGAAAAGATTGTTTTTGGAAAAAATAAATTAATTTAAATAATGAGCAAACTTAGTGAACACACTGGAGCGGATCCTCCACTCACTCTGGCTTCCTACAAATGCGGCCTCCAGACTACCACTCTAGTCCCTGCTCCCCATCTGCTTTCCTGGAGACTCCCAGGCGTATAAAAACCCCACTGCATAGCACCTGCGTGACTCTGCCATTCCTCCTCTGCTGCCATCCTAAAGCTTAGGATCAGCCACCACTCTTCCACGACACAGTTGCTTGCTATACTTTTGCTTTTAAAGATCTGCTTTTGTGGGCTGGAGAGATGGCTCAGTGGTTAAGAGCATTGCTTGCTCTTCCAAAGGTCCTGAGTTCAATTCCCAGCAACCACATGGTGGCTCACAACCATCTGTAATAAGATTTGGTGCCCTCTTCTGGCCTGCAGGCATACACACAGACAGAACATTGTATACATAATAAATAAATAAATAAATAAATAAATAAATAAAAAGATTCTTAAAAAAAAAAAAAAGATCTGCTTTTGTTTGATTGTTTGTTGTTGGTGGTGGTGATGGTGGTTCTTTTTTTCTTTTGGAGACAAGACCCTGACTGAATAACCTTGCCTGGCCAGGAATTTGCTTTGTAGACCAGTCAGACTAAACTTGAACTCAAAGAGACACGCCTGCCTTTGTCTCCTGAGTTCCACACCTAGTCAAGATTCTTTCGATCAAAAATAAATAAATAATTAAAAAACTAATATCTTATCTAGGATGGTCTGGTAGGAGAAACATAAAAAGTAGTGAAATCAGATGGATCATCAAATGATGAGCAGTATCTCATATATTATTCCAAATACTTTAGATAAATCAGAAATTTTTCAGCTAGGGGTGGGTGAGATGGCTTATCAGATATACATGCTTGCTAGGCAAGCCTGATAACCTAAGCGAGATCTCTAGGACCCAATAAGGAGAAAACAAATTTCCAATAGTTTTTCTCTGGCCCCTATATAACTTAACTCCATGGGACGAGCATATTCTCTCTCTCTCTCTCTCTCTCTCTCTCTCTCTCACACACACACACACACACACACACACATGCACACAGACTCTGTCACACAATCATACAAACAAATAAAATTTTAAAATCGATCTTTATTAAAAATGTATGAATGTTTTTTATTGTTTGTATTGGGCTATGTATGTTTCTCTGCTCCCATCCCTTCCTCCCCTTTACTTCAGGAGATCTTGTCTTT